ATGCTTCTTTGAGGCCTTCATAGCGTTCGTGGGTAGTTAGAAGTGGGGTTATAAGTCCCCTGATATGGGTTATTGCTACAGTCACCCTATCTAACCCCACCTATAACTACCCATGAACCTCTAAGTGTGGCTTTTCGGTACAGGAACTAGGATGCCCAATCCGTGGCAACGTTGACAACGAGTACGGCACCCGCATAGAAAGGACTCAAAAAGGGTACCCTAATGTGAGGAACTAGATTGAATTTGAACCTTGAGATCGGGGCAAAAACTCAACTTCCACAAACCTCGACATCTTCTAAGCACCTTCATCACTACAGCCACGCGGCCAGTTCTCTAAACTAGGGTCCCTTTCTGTGACCGTGCCGTACTATTTTTGTGACCCCGAAAGGACCCTAGTTTAGAGAACTACCCGCAAGGTGACACAGAGAATGGCACCTTGGAGCGAAGCATGCATACTTCCTCAGTTGGAGCAACTGGTTGGTGTAGGCTCAAGGCTATCATAGAAGCCCAAGCAAACAAATCGGAGTTTAGGCGGGTTCATATTGTCAGTCCATACCGCTGACCTAAGATCTATGAGGCGGCAACGGTACTAGGACCCCATGGGGTTTTGGTCTACAGCTTGGTTTCGGCTGGCCCCTGTTCCCTCCCAGATTCCCCCAAACACGAAACCAAACCCAAACAGGCTTTGGTCAAATCCTTCAAAGCACCTCAGCGCAAACCCCAAGCAAACACACTAAACACCCAAAGCTGCGAAACCGATCGAAGTAACCCCAAAAAACCGTCAAGAGCTCATTGAAAAGAACCCTGACGAATGCTAGAAAGCCCATATGACCCCGAAAAAAAACCCTAAGCCCTAAGTCCTAAGCCCTGCACTCCCCAGTCCCAAGTCCCAAGCCGTTAAACAGGACCCAGGCTCGCAGAAAACGCCTGGAAAACTCGGTTAGAAGACAAGCTGCCGTGTTCTCTTCCATGCACTCCACGTGCTCTGTGCGATAGCGCCAGAGCTCATCGCGGAGTAGCTCCTGCGGTATCGGGCTTTTGACTTGGTGTTCAAGCCTTAGGGTTAGGTGCAAGGTTTAGCATTCAGGGGTTTTTGGGTTTTCGGTCTTTGAGAAAGAAGCCTTCAGAAGTAGACCAGTGTTGTTGTAAGGCTTCTGTTAAAGGTCTTTGAGAGGCTACAACAAGGGTTCTATCATATAGGCGCCTTAGTGAAAAGAAGGGGGCTTCGGGCGTATCTATGTGTATATCACAGGATAAGACCATGTTAAGAAATTCTGAGGCTTAGTGTAGGTATTTCTTCTTGCTTCAATATTCGGGCTTCTGGGTTTATATAGGTAGTGTTTCTTTCTTGGGGCTTCTGAGTTTGGAGCTTTACGGTTTGGGGTTAATCTCGGCCTTCGGGATTGTGGGTTTCAAGCTTCAAGGGGTTATTGCACTTCTCAAATCCAGGAGGACGGGTGAATGCAAGTTTACCTCGAGGTGTCGGTTGCGAGAGTGCGAGGTTGCAGCGCAAGCCAGCATCCTGGTCGCTCGAAGGCAGTTGGCCGTACCTGCCGTGACGGCGATGTTCGTATCCAGCCAACCAATGTCTCCGACCAGCCTGCTCCCGGCATCGCTGCATCGTGGTAGGCATCGTGCAGCCGCTCGAGGCTTGGGCGCGCTTCTTCGTTGCTCGCACCCACTTTCTGTGATGCAGAGGCCGCGGCTCTTCCTTAGGCAGGTCCGCGGCGTGGTTCAACCAGTCCTGCAGCAGCACGCCGCCCTGACACACAATTTTTGCACAGCAGCGACGATGCCGTTGCAACCCTGCCTGATTCTGCTGCATGTGGTAGTGAACCCGCTTCAAATTCCCCCACAAAAACTGCAGGAGCTCCAAGCGTCGTCCACCGCGAACCTCGCCGACCGCTGTTACATGGAGGCCTCCAATCCGTGGCTGGGCAACGCGCCTCCCTCGCCCACGCGAGCAGTTCCGACATGGTACTGTTCATCGGAGGCAGCATCGTTCTGAGTGCAACAGGCGGCACGACAGACCAACTCACGACTAGGGTCGCGGTGCAGCGCGCCTGCACCGAGCAAGTGGTTTCGAAGCTACCAGCCCGCGAGCGAAAGGCTACCGAGAAAAAAGAAGCATGATGCAAATCTCGGCAAGCGTCCAGGTCATCTGCACAAAGTTCTTCGGGGATTCCACGAACCAGGGCTCCGAGTGTTTTCGGCGACTTAGGTGCGAAAGCTCTAGGTAGCCTTCTGGCGTAAAACACAAACTCGCCATCCGTCGGTGCCCAACCCTGGACACGCCGCCGCCATTTCTCAATTTTGCCCGCTCTTGCCGCAACACTTTGACCGCGAGGTCACACCATCGCTTCATGGACCTGCAATGCGATCGGTTGTCATATCTCTAGCTCAATTCAGCCTCAAGAATCCAAGAACTCTCTGTTCTCCAGCTGGGCCACTCGACGCCAGAGTTCCAACATCAAGCTTCTGCGTTGAACGTTGAGATGCCGCGCGGTTTGAACGTGTGAGCCATGTGAGCACGTGCACGACACTGCATGTGCGCGTACGCTGTGGCCGAGCAGCACCATACCAGACATGCAAGAGCTCGCCGTTAGCACTTGGGATCGGATGTGGCGGACCCCGGGGTGCGGCCATTCGAGGAGGCTCGAGGAGGACGGGCGGCGTGTGCGTCCGACACAGCAGCGGCTCCACCAGAAAAGATGCCTATCGGCTTGCAGGCTTCAATGTTCGTTCGCCGAGTATGGTAGCCAAGCCGAGGCACGACGCTTGCAGCTGACAGGGCTTAGAGCCTTCAGGGGGTCTAGTGGGCCTGGGGATTCAGGCTAGGAAAACATGTGGTTGAGTGATAGGAGCTTTTGGGGGTCTGGGGGGTACCGGGTTTAGGTTTCTTTGGCATAGCGAAAAGACAAGACAGATGCTGATACCATGGTTCTCTTCATGACGACCCGTCATGACAGCAGAATGCCACTCGCCATGGTTCTCATGGTACCACGAGTACGAGGCATGAGCAAGAGGAGCATGTTCAGCGGCCATGGCTGTATGCATCATGCAAAAGATCTCCAACCATACTGGAGTTTGCTGACTGTGACTGCATTAGAAGTGTCGAAAATCTGGGAGTTCCCGAAAAGAGGGCACCCTAATATAGTACCCTGAATTGTAGGATCCTGATTCTAAGGACCCCCAAATGAGGTACCCCTAATTTCGGGAAATTCCCAAATCTCGAGCCCGGCTCTGCTCAGTGGTGGCTTACACTAGCCAATGTGTGAGTTTCCGAAAATAGGGGTCCCTTATTTTGGGGTCCTTGCAATAAGGCCCTACTATTTAGGGTACTATATTAGGGTCCCCTATTTGCGGAAAATCCCAGGTAACGGTTCTTTGGGACTGCCAAGCCCTGCCGGCTGTCTTACGGCACATCGGGAAAATGTGCGGGAATGCACCGAGGCGCAGGTCTAACGGTTTAGGAGCTAAAGTTCAGGACAGTTTAGGGTTTAGGGTTTGGAGTTCAGGGTTTAGGGTTTGAGAGTAAAAACGGAGATGATCGAGATCATCGTAGCCATTTTGAACAGAAATGGGCAGGAGTGAAAAGCAATAATAAAACCGAAGTAACAATAATACCGTTGATTGAAGTAATCTTGCTTGGATGATCATGGGACTTGGCGAACAGGGTTGTAGTTATAACCCAAGTACTAAATCCCATGATACTCCAAGTAGTACGTGCAACAGTCGTCGTAATCTTTTGGCGCCCGATCGCTTTCCGATAAGGGTCCTCTCGGGGCTCGGCCAGGACGTTCATGATGATAACGTCCCGGCGCACATCGTGCGTCATCTTCACCTCACTCTAAACCCAGAGCCACGCTCCGAACTTGAAATCCCAAACTCCAAAATTTAGAGCCCTAAAACCCCTAACCCTAAAGCCCAAACCCGAAATCCAACACGCCCAGCCGAAACATACAGTTTAAAGCCATGACCCCAAACTCCAAACTCTAGACCCCCAACCCTAAAACCCCTTAACCTCTATGTTCCTCCTTGAACTTGCCTGTCTCGATTCCAGATCCGAAGCCGGTTGGGGATCGCGGTGTTTCGGAGAGGGACCCAGAAGACTAATCGATCGGGGCCTTACTAATTAGACTACTTAAAGGATCGTGGGACTTAGTATCTAGGGTTATAATTAGGCTAACTATACTTATAACCCCAATTAGGGTACTTATAACCTTACTTACTAAGTCCCATGAGCCTCCAAGTAGGGTTTTGGTGTACTTGTATACTAGAACTCTAGTAATGAACCCTGGGACTGCTAGTATGAGTATTCAGGCTTCCAAATTTCTTTGCCAACCACGCTGATAACCAGATCGAGAAACGCAAGACTTGGATTTAGCCTGGATTTCCCGTAGCTGACAGTAATGGAGGTCTCGTCAACCCGATTCATGCGAACTGTGCGCACGTTGGTTTCTTCCTTGCCTCACTGCCCATTGCATTTGCCTTGTTCTTTTTGCCACATACGCCGAACAGCGCAGCAATGTTCTCGTCCTTGCCATCAGGCGCTCAACGTACTCCGCAATGCGCTTCGCATTGTCATCGTCGGAGTGGATGGACTTGAGGGTTAGGGTTGAGGGTTTACACAAAGACTTCTGCCTTAGTCTCCTTTACGCCATACAGCCATTTGTTCACGAGCACCTGCTCAAACGGGGTTAAGCTTGTTTTTCAGGTTTCAGGGTTTAGGGCTGAGGGTTCAGGGTTTGGAGGTGTAAGGTGTATAGTTTAGGGCTTTGGGTGTTTAGGGTTGTGGGTTTAGCGGCTTTTAGGGTTTAGGGTTTTGGGTTTTAGGGTCCGACCGTTACGCCCAGGGTCTTGGTCTGCTTGCCTCGGTTTTTGTGCTGCACGTCGACTGCTAAAGTATGCCATGCTATTGAACTACGTTGTGCTGCAGTATGTTCTGGTTTTCTGATTTCTGCTGGCCCCCTGGGTAGGGACCTGATGCAACTGAAATGCTTGCATGTTGTTCGTTCATGTCAGTTTTTTGGCATGGGCTGCTCCATCTCAGCCCAGTTTAGGGTCTGGGGTTCAGGATTTGAGGTGTGGTTCTGAGGGTTTGGGCCAATTTCGAGATTGGTGCGTAAGGATTAGGACCTGTGGTCTCGAGTTTAGCTTGAGTACGGAACAGTCTATTGCACAGTAGACCGTCGCCTATCAAGCGCAGCATACCATGATACTGTAAGCTAGACAAATCTGAGCTATTATCTACCAAACCCACCATACCATGTTACAGTGCACAATACTTTGACGCGGTAGACTGGTTTCGGTTCCTGTTTCTGAATATCAAAAAGTAGATCCCTTAATGGGGGTTCCTATAAAGTACCCTTAGTAGTATAGGGCCCCAAATTAGAATATCTACTTAATTCAAACTCCAAGCCAGAAACTGGAAGCTGATTGACAGGGCCGCAACTTGAAAATCGGGTTCGGGGGCTTCGTCCGGGGTCAGGGTTGAGGACCATTCTGGCATTGCCATTTACAAAACCAGAAACCCTAAACCCCAAAGCCCCCTAAACCCGACTTATAACTGGAACCTCCAACTGTTGATGATAAATATCCTATTACCCATAATAAGGAATATACCATAGTTCCCATAGTTTAGGGTCCTTAAGGTCATGCAGGATTTATATCATCAACCGAAGCACCCCTTGTCAGGCGCCCCACTCGGCCACTAACGGCCGCCTGCAAGGATGTCGTTCGATGGACCTGCGATTCGCTGGCGAATATAGGGGCTTGGGCAGTTAGAATAAGGTTCAAAAGGGTTGCTACAAGCGGGAACTACAAGCGTTTGTAGGTTCTACAGTAGGGGCCTTAATAATTACAATTGGGTTTTGGTACCCAGTATACTATAGTAAGGAACCGCCAGAATAGTATAGGTGATTATTATGGCCCAGATACTGTTCGTTGGCTGTCGGGAAATCCAAAAAGTCAAGTCTCATAACGGGCCCTAAATACTTGGAATACGGTTTTGGGGTATGCTGCTTCAGTTCCATTTTATTGAGGAACCCTAAGGAATCATGACTAATGACTATTCAAGGCTTCCTGCATGAAGCCTAAAAACCGAAACCCTGAGCCTAAGAAAGCCAGAAGACTTTCGTTCGCGGTTTGAACCGGTCACAAACGCCTTTCGAGTTGGGGTTTCGGGTAGGGAGACACGGGTGGAGGGTTGAGGTATAGAACGGTATAGAGGTTGGGCGTTTTGGGGTTTAGGGGCTACCATGAAGCTTGCCCACGTCTTCTCGCCTTCACGTTGAGGCCGGGATAGTACTTGAAGTGGCGCTTGCGGGTCACCTCAGCCATGCGAGAGCAAAGCTAGTCACCACGGACTCCAAACCCTCCAAGTATATGGGGGCTTACTGCCCGTGTACCATACCCGCTAATTCAGATCCCTACACTAAACGTTACCGAGGACCGAAACCCTGAACCTGGGGGTCCGCACGTGGGGGTTCTTGGCCATGAACTTGCGCTGGCGACCTGATGCAGGAGAGCCGGCACAAACAGAAAAGCACTTTCGGAGTTTCTCTGGGCGGGCTGTGGTTGCGGACCCTAAACCATAACCCTGAACCGTGGCGGGACTGAAAAGCCTCCGACCGAAACAAAGGTACGCAGCACCACCAAGGAATTGCCGCCGACCAATTGTGGTACATAGGGGCCTTAGGAAATAGAAACCTGGGTGTTGTTGATAGCAAAATAGTTAAGAAACTCACAGCTCAAACGACCGAAGAAAACGCACCGAAAAACAGTCCCCCTTCCGCCCCATACTTCCAACATAAGAAATGACATGAAAAAGCGGACCCAAACCGCCGAAACCCTAAACCTCAAAAACCTACACCCTAAAACGCCAAAACCCCAAACCCTAAACTGCAAACCCAGTCCCTAAACCCAGAAAGAAAGCGGCAGCTTCCTGTCCCTAGGCCCGATTAGGGCGGTAGTAGGGAACCCACGATGTCTGTTCAAGTACAGCTATGAGAGCCTTAGTTGGAGTGATAAATACACATCACTATAGCTGCCTTCCTTATAACCCTATATACTAAGTCCCATGATCCTCCAAGTATCATTACCATAATCACCTTGGCCGTAAACCCTAAGCTCGAACTCATAAACCGGTATAAACCCCAGTTGCTAAGTTCCGTGGTAGTAGGGCAACTCCAAACCCTAAACCCTAAGCTCTAAACCTAGACCCTAAACCGTAAAATCTAAACCCTAACAAGCCGATTACCTAACCCTCAAACGTAAAACCTAAACCCTAATCCCTAAACCCTAAAACCTAAACCCTAAAGCCTAAACCCTAAAACCTAAACCCTAAAACCTAAACCCTAAAACCTAAACCCTAAAGCCTAAACCATGATGCCCGGGTTCCCCGACAGATGATCTTGCCGGCTTCCTGGGCTCGGCTCCAGCCGTTTCTGGTCTCGTAAACTTTGGATCGGTTTATGGTCTTGGGCTTTGGGGCGTTAGGGTTTAGGCTGTTTAGATTAGGGTGTCGGCGTTAGTTTATGGTTTTGGGCTTTCGGGCCTTAGGCTGTAAGCGTTTTTGGATTAGGGTGTCGGTTTTTAGGGTGGTTTGAGTTGTCGGTTTTGGGGTTTAAGGTCTCAGGGTTTAGGCTTTCGGGTTTTAGGGTTGAGGTTTTGGGTTTTGAGTTTAGGTTTTGGGTTTTTGGGTTTAAGCCAAAGGCTTATGGCTTGAGGTTTGGGGGTTGCGGATTTAGGGATACTCAGAAACTAAACTCAGCTTCCCTCGTGCGGCCTACAAGGAAACCCTAAACGTGCCCTAAACCCAAACCGACCTAGACACGCGAACCCGAAAGCCTTAAACCCTAAAACGCTAAACTTCTAAGTACAAGTGGCCCTTCCATAGTAACCCAGCTGACAGTCTTACCAGCATCCTATGAGTACCTGACTTGGGGTTACAAGTAACGGTAGACATAGTTAGCTGATTTCTATTCCTAGCTATGACGTTCCATAACACTTTAAACCCTAAACCTTTACAGAACCCTAGAGAGAACCCTTTCAGGAGCCCTTGAAGTCACTAAGCCCCATGATCCGTTTAAGTAATCTTCCCAGCTTCGACAAACTCGGATGGCAGGGCTTTCGGTCCCACGTGCGCCTGACCGAGGGGCTTAGGGTTTGGGTTTTTGGGGTTGAGGGTTGAGGGTTCCTTCAGCTTGTGGAGAGGTCGTTTCCAGGTCAGAAACACTGTTTTATCAGGTTGTACAAGCAACCATACGGGCAAGAGCAGGCTGCAGAAAGACGTTCATGAAGAGTTGTACCGGGTTTGTCAGACTAGAAAGGTTGTAAGAAACTGAAGATTATGGGTCAAGCGAATTGATTGTACTGCAGGGATGGGAATCATCAGCAGTACTGTAATTCCCTCCCAGTCCCCTCATCATGTAGAATAGCCCCACCACCCAACGCCCTCGTTCAGTTATGATCTTTGCGGCTTGGTTCACAGGATACTCCAGGTCTTAGCGTTTCTGCCTCTGTAATCCATGGCGCTACGATGAAAGGCTGTTGTTGCAAAAACACTTCACAAGTTTTCTTCCAGACTGAGAAATACCAGTGACTACTCCAACCTTCTCACACAGCATCTTAATGTCCGTGTTCTCGGCCAGAAGGCAATTAAGCTTTCATCAACATGCTGCCAGCAGCCAACAGACCAAAATACTCGGAACCCCCAAGAACTCAAAGCTAAACCTCCCCCTGAACCCTAAACCCTAAACCCCAAAGTCAGATGTTTTGAAAATAGCGGGCCGTCCTTGAGGGGCTCGCGCTGCCCGCAAGGACTGGCCTGTGGGAGGCCAGAAAAGAAAAGCAGTCAGAGACATTTCTGGAGCCTCAAGGCGAATTTGCAAGTCCTCATACGGTTTTGGGTTTAAGGAAAACAATATAGGGTTTCATGCACCTTCGGGGGAGCTTTTTGCGGGTGGTCCGCAAGAAACCCAACCAGAAAGATTGTAGTCAATGACCACCTTGCTCCCGAAACCCAGATGGAGAAACTCTAGCCCTGTGGGTTTAGAGTTTGCGGGGTTTAGGAATGGGGATCCCGGCTTGAGAGATTTAGGGCTTCGGCTTCAGGATTCAAGTGCTTAGGGTTGAGAGTTTAGGTGCGGAGGGTTTAGAGTTTCGGATTTGGAGGTTCAGTGTGTAAGGTTTAAGTTTATATCCGATCCAACTGTGCAAGAAACCGCCCACACTATGAAGCCCACTACAGCATAGCCGAGCATCAGCAACTACAAACCCTGGAGACTCGTATGTACGGAGACCCTCGAAAAGCCGGAAGAGCACAAAAGGTCTAGGCCTGCAATAGTGACTTTAAGGATTGTATAGGATTATATTTGGGGCCTAATATATTCCTATTATACCACTATTACAGGATGAGGAAACAACTCTTCGGATTTTCGACCTACGCTCCGCAATCGGAAGGTACTGCGGCCGTGCTGCGCGGGGCGGCTTCCAGTAAGACCTCTTCGTGAGAAGCGTTCGTTTCCGAGCTGGTTACTGCTTCGGGCTTTTTTGGGGGGTCCTTAATAATTAGACCAGGGTATTGGGGTATAGAATACCATAATTATGATGAGGAACCCTAAAATAGTAGTTATATTTAATTGAGTTCCTACATTAAGCCCCTTTGAACCATCGGCTTGCACGAGCTCAGTTCTTCCATTGTGTCGGGTTCTGCAAGTCTCATCTGCCAGGAATGCAGGCGCCAAAATTGTTGCTACTTGGAGGTTCATGGGTAGTAAAAGTGGGGTTATACGTACCGTAACTGCCATTATAAGCAATATTAGGGGACTTATAGGCCACTTATCACTACCCACGATCCCTCTAAGTCTTGTAAGTCCCCCTTGTACCTACCCATGAACCTCCAAGCAGGTTCCTCAGTAGCCCCAATACTACGGGTACCGTTTTCCGTTTATTCCATTCTACTTCGGGAGCCCAAAAAGAAGAAGGACAAAAGGGTAATACTGGGAACCGAGACTAAACCCTAAACCCCTAAACCCCTAAAAACCCTAAACCTCTAGATACCCTAAACCCTTAACCGTAAACCCTACAGCCGTAAACCCTAAATCCCCAAACGCCTATACCCCAAACCCCTAACCCCTAAACCCCTAAACCCTAAAGCCCCAGACCCTTAAACCCTAAAACCCTAAACCCTATAGCAGTGCCGGCTCTACCGTCCATTAACAACTGGCAACTTGTGAGTTGCAGTCCAGAGCTTCGTAAACCCTACACCTACTCGTCGGGTATCATCGGGAAATTGAAGGTTAACCTTTTTGGGTATATCGGGATTACAAAGGGACTACACTACTCTACTACAAGGTACAGTAGAAGCCTAAAAGTTGGAAACCCCAAAGCCTCAATCCTTAAGAGTAATGTCTTGGGGTTTACTATAAACTGCAGCATCGAAACTGAAACCGCAAACCCATTGAAACCCCTTGAGGAAACCTTTACGAAACCTTCATACAAGCCTGAAACACCCTAACGAAACCCTTCTACAAACCTAAAAAACCCTACAAAATCCTTGTAAAAACAGAAACAACTGCCTTTATGCAACCCTTATTGAAACACTACAACAGAGACCCAAAGCCACAAAACTCATCCGAGTCGGCGGCTGACGCTTCGTCTGCTTCTCCCGGACTGCACCCAATGGCGATGTCAAGGCAATGGGAACCGGCTCCAGGAACCTTTGGTTTTAGGGTTCACTGTTTATGGGTTTAAGGTTTTGTTTTCTGACTTTCTCTCTGCAGAGCTCTGTCGCGCCTACGAAGGCCTACCCTCAAGACGTCGGTTGCCGTTGTCCTTCCCTATTTTGCAGCGGTTTAAGGTTTAGGGTTTAGGGTTAAAGGTTAAGGGGCTCTGGAGTTTAGGGTTTAGGAGTTTTGGGTTTAGGAGACGCGGTTTCACAGTCTTACAGGGGATCATGGGACTGAGAATTTACTGTTATAAATACAGCAACTGTATTTATGACTACTGATGACCCGAAGTGTGGTACCTGCGGCCTTATGTGCTTACTTGGTCCGCTGGTATGATAATCCTGGTGAGCTTAAAGTGTACCGTCTTCTACAAAGTAGATTCCCGCTTAGGCTTCTACAGGTTCCGAAAACCGAAGAACTCCTAGGCTAATGCTTAGAAGGGGCCCCCACCCTGTAATAGTGGTATAATAGGAATATAATAGGGCCCTAATATAGTTCTGACAGTCACTATTACAAGGTGGGGGCAGCTTCTAACGTAAAGCAAAAATGCAAAAGAAGACTCCCGCACTAAGAACTTCAAGCCCTCGTCTTCAGAGCCCCGCCCCCCCGCCCCCCTGCTTCTTCCCCCAACCTTGACTAAACCCACAGCAAAAAAACTCTTCCGTTTAAACCTCAAAACCCATAACCCAAAACTCTCAAGCCTCAAAAGCCCTAAACCCATGCTGAACTTCTAAAACATCGCAGTTCATCGTAAACCTCAAGAGCTCCAAAGTCCAATCCCTGGAAACCTGACCCTAAACCCTAAAAACCCTAAACCCTAAACCCTGCCCCACGTGCCTGGCCAGCGGCTGAGCGGTTCCCGCGCCCTGTGCGACGACACGTGAACGGCAAAGCCCGGGTTCAACTTTGAAGTTGAGGGCTTGGGAGCTTGAGGAGTTTAGGGTTCAGGAGTTTAGAGTTTAGGGTTTAGGGCGGGCTCTGTGGCTCTAGTGTTTTACGGCTTCAAGGCTTTAGTGCTTCTAGAGGGGTTTAGGGCTTTACGGTTCAGGGTTTCGGGTTCGGGAGGGGGGGTCCTTGGGGAGCCAGGCTGGATGGGAGCTTCATAAAGTCGGGGACCCAACACAAGGTCCTAATGATATGAGTATAGGGGCCTTAGTGGTTAGAATAGGGTCTGGGGGCCCATTATACTGTAACAATAATAATGATAATAAGTATTAACGCCCCTAGAGCAATATCCAAGTTTAGGGTTTTAGGGTTCAAAGATTACGGTTTGGGGCTGACTCCGAAGTGCAACAACCAGATAATGATACAAAGAAGTCCTCTTTAGCTAAACGCTCAACCCAGAAACTCCCATGCCCCTGAATCAAGGAATATTCCGCAAAAACAGCGCAGGATCCCTAATGTGATTTCAGGAATAATCCTAAATTAATGGACATTGGAGTCTCTAGGAACCCGAAAGGTCGGAATAAAACAACCCTCAACTCTGAAGCCCTGACCCCAAAGAGAGATCGCAGAGATTAAACCCCTGAAGTCAAAAGCAAAGCTTTCCCGGTCTCTCGTCATATTTCATAAACATACATACATACATGCATACATGCATGCATACATACATACATACATACATATATATACATATATATATATATATGTATGTATGTATGACATATATCATATACCATATAACATCATATACTATGTATATAAGCATATAGAATTACATAGCACAGCATATTATATATATATATATATATATATATATATACATATATATATATATATATACTTACAGTTATATTTATATTTATATGTGCAGTACCTAGAATACATACTATAACATGCATACTGAACAGCGGCACCTCAAGCCGTTTCGGTGTTGGGCGAGTTTGAGGGTGTTGGGGCTTTGGGTTTGGGGTCTTGGGCTACATCGAACCACAGTTATCAGTGTCTCTCAAGAAGGCTCCTTGAAACATAAGGGTTGCGATAAGAGGTCCAGAATATGGAGGATCCCTAACCCCCCCCCCCCCCCCCACCCCCCCCACACACTGGGCGCACACAGAGCCAGGCATCCCCCCCCTTGCACCTGCAAGGATCTTTGGGCGGCTGTCCGCAAGGAGGACTGAAGTGCCTTCGGCGAAGGCGAGAATCTGGAGTTACATTACACCCTAAGTCCCTTGAACCCTAAACCCTAAGCCCTACACCCTAAATCCCTTGAACCCTGAATCCCCTGAACTCCACGAAACCCTTCAAGCCTAGAGCCCTGCAAGCCTAAACCTTTCGACCCTAAACCCTAAGAATCACTTCGGAGCACTTGGAGAGACGGTGGTCTGCCTTCTTGGCGGCTTTAAGAACTTGAGTACCGGGGCCGTAATAGTTGGAGTAGAGCTTTCATCTGGATTTAGGATGTGGCATGCTGGATGTTGCTTTTAGGCTTCATGATCAGAATAAGGCTTCGGGAGTATAGACGATGAGGGTTGCCATTACTGGTTATTCCTACCTCCGAAGTAAGACCTCAACAAGTTGGAGTCCTCAAGACCCATAGAACCCTACCAAACTTGCAATTCTTTTCAAGTGCCCTCGAACGGCAGGTTTGGGTTGGGGAAGCAAGGTGTTCTATATGGGTGCCTTAATCAATAGAGTAGCGTTCCTTCAAGGGCTCCGAGAAGGGTTCAAACGGGCTACGAAAAGCGTTTAAGCATCTAGGGGCTTGAATAATTCGAATTGGGTTTGGGGTACATTTTCGTACACATTTAATCGGAACCCCTGAGGAATACGGTTGCCAATTATTCCGACTCCCAAAACGAGAGGTGCGAATCAGAAGCTCACAGCTCCAATTCCACATGAAGACACCGCACATGTGTGGACACGCGTGCCAGTTTGGAGTTTCCTTCGGGTTGAGGGCTTAGGCTTTAGGGTATATTCTGTAAACCCTGCTTCAGGAATCCTGGGACTGGGTAACTAGGGTGGTCAACAGCAACAAGAAGCCATAAGCAAATCCTGCTTATGGCTCTAATAACCACACCTATAACCTTACTTACTAAGTCCCTTGATCCTGAAAGTGGAGTGTAGCATTGCGGGGCGCAGTCATGAGTCCTACTCTCGTCTGAAGTACCCTCTTCCTTAAACCCATGCAGAGCCCCTTATGGAAAAGCACTCTTAAGCAAGCCCTTCAAGAGGAACCCTCACAGCAGCTTTACACTTGGATGCATGCTCAGCCTTAAACTCATAGTACTGACCCCTTCGTATAGTAATTCGTATAACGCCTTCGAAACTGCCCTGAATGGGACCCTTACGGAGACCTGTCCAGAGACTCCAAAACCCCTTAGTTAAGGAATATACCTTAAATCATACTAGGGATCCTCTTATAAGTTAAGGTATACTCCTCAATTAAGGGGTTTTGGAGTCTCTGGGTGTACGGTAACCCTCATAGCATCTTTATGCTTGCCGAGACGCCCGGAGCATCGTCAGTCGATGCGAGGGCGGCGGCTTCCTACAACTCTAGGCTCCTGAACCTGAATGGGTGGCTTAAGGTTTTTTGGGGCCTGGCCCTTTTCTCTTTAGGGTTAAGGGTGAAAGGCTGAAATTACGCAGTTTTGGGGGATTTGAAGAAGCCGAAGGGCTATTGCAATCTGTTCCAAAACTATACGCCCCTGAAACTTCGGACTCCTAGGGTTGCAAGGTGTAGTTGGTTCGAAGAGCCGAAAAAAGCCGGAGTCCTAAACCCCGGACCCCGAACCCACAAAAGCCTGAACCCTTAACTCCTAAACCTAAATCTTGGAGTAACAATATTGAAAGTCCTTCCAGGAACCCTGAACACCCAAAAGCGTGAACCTAACGCTTGGCATGAACTTTGAGCTCGCAGGGCCTTCCGGGCAGAGCCCTGGGCCCTACTGAAGCCGAAACGGCCGCGACGCGCCCTTCCGTTAGGGTTGAGGATTTCGGCTTTCAGGTTCGGGTTTAGGGTTTAGGGTTTAGGGTTTAGGATTAGGCAAGGGTTTAGGGTTAGGCAAGGGTTTAGGGCAAGGGTTAAGGGTTTAGGGCTAGGCTTGGGGTTAAGGGTTTAGGGCGTAGGGTCCGGTGGGTGTGGCTCACGGCAGGGGTGTGAGAGTACAGGATTTCAGGATTTGGGGTTTAGAGCTGAGGGTTGGAGGTTAAGGCTTCAGGGCTAAGAGTGTTGAGTTTGGAGTTCTCTGGCCGAGAGTTGCAGGAAGATTTCAAGGTGCAAGGTTCAGAGGTCTAAGGTCGCCGCTAAACCCATGTCCCCACCGGAAAGCTCGCATTCCAAGACACGAGCCCGAGACCCGGAGTTGAGGGCCTGAGGTTCATGGGTAGTTATAAGTGGACTTACAAATTGGGTGACTGTAATTCTAACTCATATTAGGGGACTGATAACCCCACTTATAACTACCCATGAACCTTCAAGTAGGGCGTGGGTTCGTACTGTACGGAAGCCTTCTTGTAGAAGATTTCCGAAAATCCCCGTAAGTGTCGGGGAACGTGGAATCCAAAACGTGTAAACCAGAAACAATCCTGAAGCCTAAACAAAAAGTTGTAACAGCACTATCCTCATCCTTCAAGGAAAAGTAGAGGGGATCCTAGCACCAATCCTCTTAAACCCACCCAAGACGAAGCCCTAAGCCCCCTAACCCTTGACTTGGGTAGCTCTAAAGTTTCGGCGACTGCGCCCCAATTGGTTAGTTTTAGGGTTCGGGTTTCGGGTTTAGAGTTCAGGGCTTAGAAGTTCCCCGCACGTCCCGACAAATGTCCGACACCTGCATGCGCGAAATGGCATGGTGGCAAGGATTAGGATCTTCGTCGTCGCATCGGCTCAGGCGGGGGCGTTCAAGGACGCAGGTGGGCTTCGCAGTGCTATGTCTATGTACACGTATATGTACAACAAAATATGTGTAATAGTATATGCATAATCGTTTACGTATAAGTATATATATATATATGTAGATTTACAATAGTAGTTGTATAATAGGTGTTGACGGGTCTGGGGATTGGCTGTTGCGAGCTTTGGGGTGTTGGCTGCGAGTTTAGATGGGTTTAGGTTTTAGGCTGTAAGCTTTGGGGCCTTGGCCTGAGTTTTGCGGGTCTTGGGCTGATCCTTGGCTTGCTGGTGGTGGCTTCGTGCTAAATGCTTCGGCTAAAGTTTAAAGGGTTTCAACGAAGGCTGCAGCAGGGCTGAAGCAACGGCTGCGTTCGAGAACTTCGGATGCGGGCCGGCTCGTTTTGTCGGGGGATGTGTATGTATAGTTATATTTACATATACACACATGCATACACATACACATACACATACACATACACATACACATGCACATACACATACACATACACATACACATACACATACACATGCGGCTGCTACACCTACAGGTACACGTACACAGACCCATACACATGCACATACAATAGACCTAGACATATACATACATCACATATATGTAAATATATATTATACATACATGTGCACATATATGGGGGTTTCAGGGTGACAGAGAAGGACTGGGAGGGAGAGGGAGAAGGAAAGGGATGCACAGCCAAGGATGGGGAAAGACAGGATGAGCTAGGGCAGGACAGGAAAGGATAATTTAGGAAACCTGACCAATTAGAATATGGTGTTGGTTTATATGATACTGCGAAGAGATCTTATGGTGATATGATTGAATTATGTAGAACCAACTATCTTATTCAATAATTGCCGGACGGATCCCGAAAACATCCTTACATTGGCCTCCCGAGGGTTGAACTTCAAATTACGGGATGTCTAGTGGATAGTGAAGGGTGTGGGCAATATGGTTGATGATATAAATCCTGCATTACCCATAATAAGGAATTAAGGTCATTAAGGTTGGCAGGCAGTTTCTGATATCCGAAACTCAAAACCCTCAACCCTACACGCTATAAACCCTCAGCCTTGACCCTGCATCGGGGCATATCCTTACAACTTGGACGGAGGCCTGCTTCGGTTCAGCATCACTGACAGTTATGGATACAAGTACATAGCTTGCTTTTAAGTTCAACTACTTCCAAAGCTTACATGCGAGGATCGCCCATCCCTCAAGCCATGTAAGTGCCTTTTCTTCGAACAATGTACATAACGTACATTATAGTACATACTAGTACTAGTAATTCCGAACCCCATACTAGGTTCAAGGTTGGTGCTTGAAGCGTTGCGGCCAAAGCTCTAGGCCCATGGCCCATGTCATCACAACGAAGCTTTAAACTCTAAACCCTAAAACCCCAATGTACATCCAAAACCCCAAAGCAGAAATCCCCTAAACGCTAAACTCCGACCACAAAGTCTGCCGTCCCAGATCCGAGTACTGTAGGGGCAATGGTAATAAGAATCAACATGCAAGGACTATAACGTGCTAGCATGGCTGATTGCTCCGACCCCCCATATTAGTGCGAGACATAAATATGCAGATACCAGCACAGCAGCAGCAGCCGCGACCCTACTCCCTAAACCCTAGCAGCTCGAACCCGAAACCTTAAACCCTAAACCCCCCTAAACCCCCAAATTAGCACCTAAAGTAACCCATAAAAAACCTAACTTCGATGAAGGCCGGGTGTCCAAAGCCTGCCTCGGGTTAAACGCAGCCCCCTTACCCCCGTGGCCACCTTAAACCTAATAGGGCCGTCGAGAAATAGAATTCAAGTTCTCCTCGGTCACGCCGTCAAACCTGAGAGGGTACATCGGAACTGCGACTTCCCCTTGGGGGATGGAGCCGCAACCTTCACAGGTGCCTCCGAGCAACTGTCCGCGTGCTTGGGAACACGCTCGAACCTGAGTCGAAGTTCACCGACAGTTCCGCGCGTTCTCCGCCTTGATCTCCTCTTCCAGCTGGGTAATCTTCACTCGCACGCCGTCATGGCGGCCTTCTTGCTTTTGACGAAGCTTCGGAGGTCGGCTTTGCGTTTGTGGTAATCCTTACGCAGTGCACGCAAGGATCTCCTCTGCGCTGCCAAGCTCGTCTTATCGGGTCGCGGCATGATCGCGCAGGGGCTGGTACGATAGCAGATGCCGTGGAAGGCTGATAACCCGACAACAGGAATGGCACGATGATCCTTAATTTCCTTACCCAGCCTCTTGCCGCACATGGCACTACTTTATCACTGGCAGACAAGACTGACATGACCGATGCAGGATGCTGTTTATGCAGCACAATGTGCTGAAACGAAACAGTATATGCGATCCAGCCTCGCGAAAATCTGTTTCTGGATCGGCGGGAGCGTTGGGCCCTCGGGTCTTTGGGTGTCGAGGGTGGATACCGACTACACTGTGTATGATGTTCTAGTTGGATGATGCTTTATTCTGGTAAATACGACCATTCCGGCAAGAAGGGAAGAGTTTAGAGAGCGGATAACAGTAGGAATGAAGATAATAAAGATGGCGAAGATGGCGAAGATGACGAAGATGACGAAGATGATGAAGATGACGAAGATGATGAACATGATGAAGATGAAGGTGATGAAGATGATGTAGATGATGGAGATGATGAAGATGAGAAATATGATGGAGATGATAAACGGTTTACACAATTTAAATCCTGGGGAGGGGGGGGTCGGGGGTTTTTTGGGAATTAAACAAGCTAAATCCGGAGGCAACCCCCCCCCTATTTAAGTTGTTTGAATTGGTTAATTCCGCGGGACCCAGACCCCCCGCGGCCCTAGGATTTACAGTATTGAAACGGTTTATATTATGTAACTCCCTGCCCGAATTTACTAATTTAAAGAATTCAAAAACTTGCGAGCCCTGTGGATTTTAATCTATTTAAATTATGTCATTCCCGGCCGGAATTGAATAATGCAAATAATGTAAATAATTTAAATCCTGGTGGAGGAGGGTCCCCGGGGGGTGGGATCGGGGACATAAGGAATCAAGTAATTTACATCCGGAGGCAACCCCCGCCCCCCCACATTTCAAAAATATCAATGGTTTAATTTCCCGGGGCCCCAGATCTTTCCGGAACCCGGATGTGAATTTATTGAAACTACTTAAACTACTCAATTCCTGGCCCGAATGAAACAATGTAAATAATTCAAAGACTGGGTAGCCCTCGACATTTCAATAATTCAGATAATTCAATTCCCGGCCGGAACTAAATAATGTAAATACTTTAAGTAACAAGTTACATGATTTAAATCCTGGGGAAAAGGGTCCCCGGGGGTGGGATCGGGGGCCGCAGGAATTAAATAACTTAAATCCGGAAGGCACCCCACATTCAAATATTTAGTTCCCGGGCCCCAGATCCCCTCGGACCCCTCCCCATGATTTAAAACATTCAAATTACTTGCAGTGTGTAAACTATTTGCATTATTGAAAGCATTTGAACTGTTTAAGTTGTTTACATTGTGTAAATTGTGTAAATTATTTACTTCTCCTCTTGGCAACCCCGGGAAACAGAAACCAGGTTTATTTGACAGCGCACCCCGTAGCCAAAACATATGGTAATGAGAACAATACTAACACAACATGTTCATAACAGCAAAAATGTAATAGCATTGATAATCATACCACCAATACTAATAAGAATAATCGGCCCTATACGGAGGACAACGAATTTGGGTTTAGGTGTAGTGGTTTAGGTTAAAACTGATGAGGGTTTGGCCGGTTAGGTACTAGGGTGAGGGGTTACACCCTTAAATCCACAAAACTACGGGCCTTTTTCTGAAGTAGGCAAAGCTACAAAGCCCCTGAAACACCTCATGATTTATGATGGAGCACCATAGCCATCTGTATAGAAGCATGAGTAAATCAAAAAAACCTTTCTTACCACAAAACTTTTCGGCCTAGAGCCAGATGCGGTGAAACAGAGAATATGTAGTACCGTATGATACATACATATCTAAATATGTATATATATATACATGCATATATATATATATACACATCCCTAAGCCCTAGACCCTAAACCCTTCATACATCCCTAAACCCTATGAATTACCCTAAACTCTGCATACATCCCTAAACCCTAAACCAAAAAATCTTTCATACATCCCTAAACCCTAAACCCTGATCCCTAAACCCTTCTTACATCCCTGAACCCTAAACCGTGCTTACATCCCTAAACCCTGAACCCTGAAAATTAACCCTAAACCATAAACCCTAAACCCAAACCCTTCTTACATCCATAAACCCTTCTTGAGTTTCCGGAATAAACCCTAAATCCTTCATACATCCCTAAACCCTAAACCCTTCATAAATCCCTACACCCTAAACCCGAAAACCCGCATACAACCCTAAACCATAAACCCTAAACCCTGGACCCTAAACCCTTCATACATCCCTGAACCCAAAACCCCAAACCCTTCTTCAGTTTCCGGAATCCTCACAAAGTTTTTCGCCGCTGCTCTTACGTGTAAGGAGCTAGTTTGACTTTCGCAGGCCTCGCCTCCACGCGAGGCCCAGCCACAAAGCCGCCTTTAACATAAAGGAGCCTCAAGGATTAAGGATTGGGATAAAGTTTAGAGTTTAGGGTGTAGAGTTTAAGCTTCTAAGAGTTCAAGGTTTTAGGGGTTACGCTTGAGGGTTTAGGTGGCCAAGATTCTTGAACTAACTGTTGTGTTCTGGTATCAATGCGAACATCGTTGGCGCAACTGTGCCACTACTGTGTTCCAACACCCATTAGTGTTACAAACGATAAGGAATAATGGGTTTTGATCCATAGAACTAGCATCGATCTGACTGTTCATACCTTCGAACAATCTAAAGAATTGTGCCAGGGCTCGTCTGTCTTGCTATGTATCTCGCTACCTGTCCTAAACCCTACACCCTAAACCGAAACAAAGTCACCTTCGCCATGTTTATTACGCGACCCGTGCTGTAGAGCCTCGAGTAAGGAGCACGTCTCCAACAGCTCCATCAGGAGGGTCGAGGCATGCACAAGATGACCCAGGTAGGAATACTCTGGAACTGGGCGTGAAAGTACGTAGCGTGTCTCAAGTGCTTTCCTACCAAGGCAATGAAACATGCAATCTTGTTGTCACAACACCTCAGGCCACTGAGGGCGGAGAGGCAATATCGACGGCCCTCAAGCTATGAGGACTGCTGCTGGAGTTTCTCAAAATTGGGACTTTTCTCGCTTTGTCCTTATGTAAACGGAACCCTATATCGAAGAATCCAAGTTACCTGGCGGGCCCCATATTTTGAAAGAACTCCGCATCCAAAAACTGGAAAACTCAAAAGTTTCCGCAGGCAGCGAAGTCTCGACGAGCCTGCTGAGCTGTGGTGGACCACGGCCATGTTGTATTGCCGTACGGCCACTGGGCTAAGAGCATGTGAAAAACTAAACGGCAGCATGGGGCACTGTGCAGGACATCGATCTTGCGACTGCGATATCACTAGAACTGAGGTGTATGCATCAATAGTTACAATTTTTCGGAGTAAGTTCCGAAAAAGTAGGAGGTGTAAAGCTTTCTGTTAGATTGAATGCAGAGTTTGGACTTGTAACTGCGTGTCATGGAACCCGCAATACCAAGCCAATAATTCTGAATGACGAACTAGCGCAACCCGATAATGCAATAAGTCGCTTACACAGTTGCAACTTATCTCTCTTTGTATTGCTGCACTGTAGATCTACTGTTAGCTATTTTATTAGTATGGTTAAAGTTCCTGTGTGTATGGTGACCACGCATATTTATATACCTGTATGGTCATGCAAGTTGGTATATGCACATATGTACACACCTCAGCCCAAGTGTCTGTGCAGATATGTATAACTACGGATGTATTCACGTGTGCACTTTTGTGCATGCATGTATCTGTCTATCCGCCTATCTACCTATCCATCCGTCCATCATCTATCCGTCTATCTATCTATCCATCCATCCATCTGTCTATCTAGCCGAATCTAACCATCTGTCCAACTATCTATGACAAGGCACCAGGTTCGACCCGTCTGTCTATATGTACACACACACACATGTCTCTATATGCACACACACTCACACACATGATACATGCATGCATACATGCATACATACACGCACGCATAACCTATGTTTCTATGCACAAAAACACATACATGCACAGAATAATACACCTAAAAGCTGTACCTATACATATGCATACATGCATGCATGCACACTGTGCATGTAATGATATGCATGTATACTTGTGTACCTGCACACAGTCACACACCGACATTCAGTATATGCTGGATACGTGTCTACCTAAATACATGGGTAATGGGTACGCAAACAGAAACACTTGGTTGATTGAGAGACTGATACACTGGTTGATGCATTGCTGGGTCATCGGGTGAGATTGCTTGCTGTCTTGATTGATCCCCTTAACCGTTTGTATAATCCACTAAGCAAACCATAGAAGCAGACTGCTTTACTGCCAATACAAATATTGATATAAACGTCAGCGGTAATTGTAATGGTGCAACACTGGATGGCCTGCAAATCACATGCTGTGCCCAAACCAAAATGCAGCGGCTCTTGCACTGCAAAGAAAGGAGGTGCTTGTGTCTCCAAGCCCGCAACCTTGGTAGCAAAACCTTGCAACCCTCAAGCACGAAACCGACCCGATGCCCAAAGCCATTCCTGACAGAAGCCGTAGCTCACCTTTACCCCAAACTCCGAATTCTCGCAGCCTCGACCCAAGAGCCAGAACGCGCTTCGCAAGGGAAACAGCACCCGGAAACTAAGCTTTCGGAGTCGGATCTTCAAGGCTGTTTGGGCACAGAATCCCAAACATTTAGGGCCGCAGACTGCGGCACCCTAAATCCGAAAGCTCGATGTCTTAAACTCAACACCCCGCAGACACCTCCTCCGGCTTAAAAGACTCCCTATGGATGGTCGCACCAGGATGCCGAAAGAAGCCACTGGGCAAACCATAGAGGAAGACTGCTTTGTTCTCAATAGATAATAATGGCAGTACAAAATACTAAAATTATTGTGGGCATTAATAGTACTGGTAGTGGTAATTGTAATGGCACAGCAATGGTAAACCCTCTTCCCTTGCAAGGGCTCGAAGAGGGATCCAGGACTATGGCCCTCACGATTGTGGGTTCTTGATCATCAGGGGGCCTTGAGAGCTGGGGTGCAGGCCCCAACCCTCAATGATTGATCCCAAGCAGAAGGGGACGACAGGGGTTGAGCTGTTGCAACTTCCAACCACGGGCGCAACCTCAATGGGGCCTTTGTAAGACCCATTGAAGCCCTGTAAAACCCTTACGGCGTCGTGTACAACCTCTACAAAACTCAGACAGCTTGGGGCCCAGATTTTGGCTTCCTGTCGGCATCCATTTCTGTGGCCTGGCTGGCCATGTCCGACAAGGAGGTAATCTCTAAAGAACGTACCAAGAAACTGCACGGGCTTCGGGCATAGGATGGTGGCCGGGTTGGAAGCAACGCCTTACTCCGTTTAGATTCCGACCAAAGACGTTTGCAAGCGGTCTGAAGAGTGGGGAAGTACAACCCGAGATCCTCAAGCCCAAGCGAAGCCCTAAATCCTAGCTTGAGCCCTACAGGGGCACAACTCCTCCTCTTCATAATCACCTGCCTGTACCACCTCTCAAAGTTTAGGACTTAGGGGGGTGTCGGGTTTGGATCGTGAAGGCTTCACGGGCCGAAGCCACCGCCTAGAACAATCTCCTAGCTCCCCCACGACTCTCATGAAGCCTTGCCCCCCTATGAAAATTGCTTGGTCTGCTTCTTCCTCTCCAGTCTAAGTTAGCTGAGCTGCTTTCGACTGTATCAAACCCCGGCTGAGCCGATGACATCAACGAAGCCCCGACAACACCCCAAACAACACAAACGAATAACCAAAGATGCCCAGGACCCACCAACCCTAAGCCGTTTATAAGCCGATATGTAATCGTAATATGCACCTCCATAGAACCCTTGTAGAAAATCCCGCAAAACTCCCGTGGCGGACCAATAGCTAACTGGGTTTCCAGTCTGTCTTTGGGTCGGCTCCGTCAGATGACGGACTCGAGACCTTCCTCCTGGGGTCAGAGTCTAGGGCTTAGGGTTTAGGGTTTGGGGTTTGGGTGTGAGGGTTCAGGGTTAGTCGAGGCTTCTCGAACTCTGAAAAGCAGTTTGGAGGTTTAGTTAGCGTGGTATAAGGTGTCCTAAGGTGGCTGCAAATACGGTTTCCACAAGGTGTCCATATGGTTTTGACAAAAGTGTTCTATGGAGGTGTTGTATTGTGGAGCTCGGTGTAAAGCGTAAGGCTTGTAGGGTTTTGATAATTTTCTGATGCTTGCAGCCTTGCGGTCTAGGGTCTTTGGGGTCGGTTCTTGTCTGCGATTGCTTGGTAGGTCGAATCCCACAAAAATCATGACTCGCAACTCAAAACCAAAAACCCAAAACCCCTGAACCCCTAAACCCCTGAACCTTGAACCCCAAAACCCAAACCCCTAAACCCCTAAACCCTAACCCAGTTACAACACAGAGCGAACCTTTCCTCCTGACTCGGCTTCTCCTCCTGCGACGCGGATGTGCTTTCGGTCTAGGGTGTAGGGATTAAGGAGTTTATACAGCGTGCGTGCGGCGGGTGGGCACCATGTAGTCCCGCCGATTTAAGCTTTACCCGCCCCCCTCAAGGGGCTTTCTTGCTCTTTAACACTGTCGGGTTGTGGGTCCTGGCGGGGTGTGCCGGCACACAACCCGCCCCTCACGACTGTTTGTCTGTTGGTCTGCTTGTCTGTTTGTCTGTCTGTCGGTTTGTCTGTATCTATGTATGTATGTATGTATGTACGTATTGACACAAAAGAAGCTATCACAATATTGATCACCACCTTTACCACAAACAAGGCTACAGATTAACATAACTCCTATGGTATGGATAGTCACAATAATAAGTAACAGAAAGAATGAAAGCCTTCGAAGCGCCCTTCAGGGTTTGGGGAATAAAGGGTTTATGGGTTTAGAGTCTAGGGTTTTAGGAAGTCCTGCGATCCCGGCTTGGCAGTCCGTCCCAGAAGTACAGACTCGCTCCGCTGCGGCTGGGGGCTCATGGATTCCTCCCGGAAGCTCTTCATGGTCTTCATCCGCTTCCTCCCAGGATTTGGGGTTGTCACAGGGGCTTAGGGTTTAGGTTTAGGATTTGGGTATGTTTCGGGTCTGGGGCTTTAGGGCTTGGCCTAAACCCTGAACCCTGAACCCTGAACCCTAAACCCTAAACCCTAAACCCTGAACCCTAAACCCTAAATCCTGAACCCTAAACCCTGAACCCTAAACAATGAACCTTAAAGGGGCTACCCGGCCGCCGCTTGATTTCGACTTCGGCTCTTTTGGGGGGTCCTCATGTGCGTGTGGGAGGCGATGCCGGCAGCCTTGATCTGCCTCAGCATGCTCTTGGATTCCACCTCGGTGATCCTTGGCTCTCCAGCAGGGTTTAGGGTTTAGGGGTTTTGGGTTTAGGGTTTGGGGGTTTAGGGCTTTCGGGTTCAAGGGTTTAGGGTTTAGGGATCCCCTTAGAAACGAGCATGCACTCCTTATTGCATGCCTTATCGTTGTTGTGGTTATCGTTCTTCTTCTTGATTTTCACGCGGGAGACCCGCCAATAGAAAGTGGTGTTTGATAAGGGGGACCTAGGATCAAACCTTGGTGCACAAACTGGTGGATGAACTCCGCGACTCTCTGGATAATCAACTCGCTCACCTCAAGCGAGACATGTTTGGGGCTTTTGAGTTGAGGGGTTTAGGGTTTAAGGGAACTCGCCCTCCGGTTGTGTGAAGCAGGAAAGCTCGAATGGGCTCTTGTTGCTCAATGAGCTACAATCGAGTTGTTGAAGATATTGATATCCTCGCCACCAATCATATTCAAATGTAGCTGGGCATCACGGACTTGACGGCTCGACTCCAGCATCAGAGTCACGTCCTCGGCTGTGTCCTTCTCGCCGAGCATGTCCGCGACCGCATACTGTGCATGATGGTGCGCAGTGATGAACGAAACGACGGCTATGTAAGAGTCCAGCTCGTGTTGCACACTCCAGCCCAAGCGCCAGTCATGAATCCAACTGCAGCAAGCCGGTGCAACCGAGTCCAGGAATCCCACGGTCTTCTCTAAGACACTCTCCTTCGGCAACTCCTCCTGTGACTTCGGCGTTGGGGACTTCTTGTGCTGGCACGGCTCAAGGTTTAAGAGATGTTTTTGGAGCGAACCTTAAGCCCTCAACCAGGCCTTTAAGTATTGAGGTTTACAGGGTGGTAAAAGCTTCGGCTTCTACCCTAAACCCTAAACCTTCAGCTACACTCGAAAACCTAAGGCCTGAACCCTAAAACCTTAAACCCTCCACCCGAAACCCTAAACCTTGAACCTGAACTACCCTCCTCTGTCTGGTGCCTAGTAAGGAACGCGGGAATTTGTCCCTGTAGTAGCCCCTATGTAATCATGTAATCCCCAATAATAGTCCCCACATTCCCTACTAAGAACCAGACAGCAAAGGCCTGCAGCAGGGACCAGTCGTGCAGCTCCATGTCTGTGTCGCTCAAAGCGGCGGCGAGGGAATCCAGGAGCCTGGACATCGGGGATTTTAGTCTTTAGGTCGTTTAGGGCTTTAGGGTTTAGGTTTTAGGGTTTAAGGTGTTGGGGTGTTTAGGTTTTATGGTACCCTGAAACCATGCAGTGCGTGTAAAGTTCAGCTCCGCCTCAAGCCCGAAAACACCCTGACCCGAAAAAGAATCCTAAACCCAAACCTTACACCCTTACCAATCAAGGAACCCCTCAAGGGATGCTTAGCCGAACCAACAACAAGGAGCTTAAGGGCAGCCGGCGACTTTTTCGGAAGATGCCTTGACTCAATGAGGTCCTCCGAGATTCCACAGAGGGTTCTACAAGGGTTTGTGCAGATGGGGGGTCTTATGTACGGGAAAACGGTATTTTACGTGCTTTCACGTGGCTGTCTTGGGCTTTGTAGGTTTTACGGCTGGGACCTCATTAGTTTAAAATCCGGCTTGCAAACCTGGTGCAGTACAACAGTAGAACTTTTTAGGATGTTCACAAAGTTTTTCGGGGTTCTACAATGGGGCTTGATAGGTTCCTCAAGCTATGTTGAGGGGTTTTTGAATTGAATACAGACGCCTGATGATTCGACTCCAGTACTAACTAATCACTAGTCAGCTCTCCCCACTAACCAGATCTTCCAACATACTTTCATCCAGGAAGATCCCTCAAACCATAGCAGGAATATTCTCACTTTGTGTGTCGCGCAGGGGCCTCGATCGTGAGAATAATGTTTTGGGGCACATTGCATAAAGGAACGCTAAGGAATCATGTAACTGCCGATTCAGCCTTGGATAGTTGCGGAAGATCTGAGCGCTCAGCCCCAGCTTTGCTGTGGACCCTAAACCCCAACCCCTTAAAACCCTCGACCCTAAACCCTAAAGCTATATAATCCCAAACCTCAAAAACTCACACCCCTCGATCTTCAAGCCAGGGACACTATGCCCTAGATCCTGAATCCGAAACCCTTGAACCCAGACTTTGGGACAAGGAGGTCCCAGTACTTCTTCCTCACGATGCGCATGAAAGTCTCGCGCAGGATTCTCCTCGGTTCGTATCAGCTCTTGTCAAACAGCTTGAGTTAAGCTACCCTAGTAAAGATGCCATCATACATACTCCTCAAGTAAACCTGTCAATATCCTGACACTATCCTTACATAACCCGAAATAGATACGACTTTTCCCTCTGGAACCTTGTTGACGCCCTTACTACGCCCCTCCAGAATGTTATCCTTCCCGCACAACGACCCAGTCGCATCTTCCGGGGGTTCGCCGGAGGATAGGCGTTCTGCTTGGCCATCAAGCTGCTGATCCTCTTTAGGTTTCCCGATAACCCTAAACCCTAAACCCTAAACCCTAAACCCTAAACCCTAAACCCTAAACCCTAGGCGTTTGGCTTGCAGGGCTTGGCGTAGTTTCCCGTAGTGGTCCGCCATTGCTCCCTGCAGCTATAACCCGTGTGTGGATTGGTGAATATCCCACAGCGAACCGTGGACTGTACGCCGTGCGAGGTCCCCGGGTTCTTTCTGCCCCACCCGTCGAGGTGGCTGGCTTCGGGCTTCTGCTCCCTCATCGGCGTCGCCGTTGAGGGAACATTATCCCCAGTTTTGTTTCGAGGTGTATGGTGGGGTGGACCTTTCTGATCCTCCTCATCCTGGATATCCTCGCGGCCGCGGACAACGACACTGAGGCGGCCCCCAGAACCGGCTTGGCATCGCCAGTGCCGGAGGCGACGCACCAAGGCCAGAACTGTGCTACGGAACTACACGTCAGGACTGACCAGTTGGGACTGGACAGTACAGGCGGCTATCCAGCAGCTACAGCGACATCATTCTGGGTCGGAGTTGCCCAGGCTGGCTTTGCAAAAGCGGAGGGCCGAGCTGAGAGCCCCTGGGACAGCAACCATGGCAGGCAACCAGGCCTGGTGGTGCTACACATGTGTGCATTGGTGCCGAGCAAAGACTTCCTTCTGCGGGACATGCGGACGGCGCTGGGACCAGCAGGACCAGAACCGGTCTCGGCCGTCGACGTATGCAGGAGGAGCCCCGGACTCGCGGCCCCCTCGAGGGGAGCCGTCACCAAGACGACGACAGCCGCCTTGGCAACCCAGACCGCGCTCGCCGCGGAAACGCGGGGGCGGAGGCAAGGGCTCGGGCAAAGCGGAGGAAGGGGCGAAGGGACAGGGCAAGCAACATCCCGTTGGTGTTGCGCCTACCCTGGACGCCATTCCCGCGCCACCGGCGGTGCCACCAACACCTTTGCCGAAGAAGCCGGCGGGCGACCAGGCAGCGCAGAGTGGCGCATCGGTCTCCCAGGAGAAAGCGCAGCTGGACGCGCTCATGGCGGTTTTGGCTACCACTACAGGGCTTCCGGAAGCAGCCCAGGCGATGCTGACAGAGTATCAGCGCGCCGGCTCCCGCAACACTGCGAAAGACCTTCACCGAGCCGTGAAGGATCAGGCCAAGGCTCGCGAGGAGCTAGCCCGCCTGAGGGGCAACAGACAGGCCTACCTCACCGCCTGGAAGGACTATGTGACTCAGGTGGTGGAGCTTCTGGATGGACAGGTAGCTGCGCAAACGACTGTGTTGGAAAATTTCAGTCAGGCCGAACTGGAATGGACGCAACAGGAGATGCAGTCGACGCAGCTACTTGCAAAGCTGACTTCACAGTCGGGGAACAACGGCGACCTGCAGGAGATTGACGACGACGAGTCCGATGCGATGGTCACCGAGGCTGTGGAGGTGGAACAGCGGCTACAGAAGGAGCAGGAGGCACATCAACAAAGTGCCCGCCAGGTGCTGGAGGTCTTGCTGAAAGTCAAGCAGCAGGGCGAGGACCAGGCGTCCCGGGAGCGCGAGGGCTCTCGGACGCCGAGAAGACGGAACGCCGAGGGCGGGCCGTCGGAGGCTCCCGATGGTGGTGCGCCAGGCACTGCCAAAACGCCCTTCAAGCTTGGTCCACCTGGTTCATCTGCCAAGCCGGACAAGGATGGGGACAACAAGCCGCCCCCTCAGTAGGCCCGCATTTAGGCCACTTGGCTATCTGCGGGCCGGGCCCATGCCGGTCGACTTGCATGGCAGGTCGAGGCAACCTTAGCAGCATCTGCCAGGAAGCGGACTTCACCGAAGAGTCCACTGGTAGATGGCTGGCGATTTTGTGGCAGTTCGAAGTGTCCTGTCAGGATTTCCTGGATGTGGATGACCCAAGGCTCTTCCCCACGTGGAGGGACGCACGCATCGAGGGCACGATGTGTGTGCCACCTTCAGGCTTCGACGCTCTTTGCACCACGATGTTTTGCAACTGTGACCCAACTGGGAGTCACGGCGGCCCGCTGAGCAGCCTTGCGGGGCAGGCTGCTATTGGGGATGTTCCGGTCCGTCGCATGGTTGGCCAGACGACCGTTGAGCAGCAACCAAGGGCAGCCTCCTTGCAGGTTTCTCGCGAGGCAGCCGCTGATTCGCGTTTGAGGCCAGTCCCGCTGAGCAGGGGTGTACATTCTGCTGTACAGACTCGCGGACCGACCAATAGTGTCCGGTTCGACCTAGAGGCATCTGTGGAGTTTTTCCTGGTGGGCCAGCATCAACTCCTCTGCCAAAGTCTGCCCATCCCACCGTCCTCTCCTCCTGCCACCATTCAGGAGGTTCATCCCCATGCTCCTGCCAACATCCTTCCTGCAGAGCCACAATCCTCCGAGAGGTGCATTTCTAACCTCGGAGGTTTCAATTCCTCCTGTTCTGTGCCGCCTGTTGCGTGCACGGCCCCTGATGCTTGGCCAGCAAGGGTGCCGGCGGTGTTGGGTGCGGTGGACCGTCAAGCGAGGGCACCATGCCTCGTTCCAGATTTGCGCATGGCTCGAGCCTATCAGGTTCCGACCCGGCCTGGTTGGTTGGCGGGTCAATTCGGGTATAGGCCTCTTGACAGCATTTGTCCGGACTTGCCTCCACCTCACAGCAGGGAGGCGAGACGGTATACCATCTTCGAGCCAAGAATTGACCTCAGGCAGCGACCGGCAGCTTCAGAGTGGAATCTGCTGGAATATGTTGCCGATGCCCTAGCTGTCGTGCCCTATGAAGCTAAGCTTGTATATGTGGTCACGGTCCCGCTTGCAGGCTTTGCCACACCACAGCTCGTGGTGACACCGCATGATGCCCGACTCCACACCAGAGCTGTGCCAATCGACCTACGGCCAATAGGAGGTCTGACCCATACCATCGTGCTGGATTTCCCCTGCACTCACGGTTCTGTTTGGGGGGCTCTTCATGACAAAGGAGTGGATCCCGAGGGCAGGGCACAGCAAGCGCATGCGGCAGGTCGCCTGGTCTTCGTGACCAGGCTGGCCAACCTATCACCCACTGGACCGACACGCCCGACGGGCCGGAGTGGGCTGAGTTGTGTACTAGTCAAGATGATGACACCTACGGCATTGCTTATGTTGGGGGCGGACCCATCGCCTTTCGAGTGCCACGCATGGCCGCTGCAACCTGTGATGCGGCACCCACCACTACTACTACGACCGAGATGGTTGCCGCCGACGATCTTCCCCCTCGGCTCCAGGGCCTGAGGTTGTTTCCCGTGGGCCTTTCTTCGCAGGCCGGGTTCCGTCACCCTCATGATGCCGGGTCAACTGCACTGCACGGCGGCGCCGCGCATGGGCACGAGGTCCCCTTGCGCTTCACAATCTTTGTCCATGGACAGCGACCCAAACCTGCCCCTGGCTCACACCGCTGGTCACTGCTTGACTACTGCTGCTCCGCCACGGAAAGTGCCGACGGTGATCTGCGGCAGGTGCAAGTCATTACGGATGCTTTGCCCGGCTTCCCTTGCCCACAAATCTCTGTGACCACGGGGCCAGATGACACAGAGCAAGCGGTCTTGCCGGTTGACCTTAGGGGCATAGACTTGGGGGTTGTATCCGTGCATTTTCGGCCTGGCATGACGTGCACTGAGGTTATCCATGCCATTGCGGATGCCTCTCCTGGTCTAAGCCTCCAGCTGCTCAACCCGCTCATGTTGGACCGCTATGTCTTGCAGGATGCGCATGGGGTTTCTCTAGATGCCTTGCCTGCGCATCTTCCGTCATTGCAGTGGCTACTTCTGCAAGTGCGACCCAGTGGCCTTGATGACCTCTCAGAAGAGGAACCTGGCTCCGTACTGCTCGCCTCCACTACGAGCACCTCGGCAGGGTTCCTGGCGGAAGCGGCGGAAGAAACGGAGGAAGCTGACTCTGTCGCTCTGCTACAACACGTGGCCGGTGCACTTCAGTCTACATGTGATTGGTCGGGTGTCAAGGCCCCAATCATTGCACCATCCCACCCGCCTGCCCTCCTCGGCCACTTTGGTCCGGTCCGCCCCACGTTGCACTGCTCCAAGCTCTGTTCTTCTGCCAGCCTGCATCCGGGACATCTGGGCGAGCCTCCGGTGTGCGACTTTCCCGCCTCACAGCTGCGTCTGTATGGAGCAGAGGCAAGGCATCCCAGGGAGCGGAGGCAATACAGTGTTTTTGATGTCCATAAGCATCTCCGTGTTCGAAAAGCAGCGGAGGACTGGACTGTGGCAGACTACTTTCGTGACGCCACTTCTTCCGCAGAGGAGCCAGTCAGGTCCGCGCAGCTCTTGGAGTTTACGTTGCCTTTGCTTGACGAGCCTCAGATTGTGCTAACGTCTGTCACTGCGCCTTACCGGGCTGTTGCTGTGCCTTTCGATTTCCGCAATCTGAGAGGCCGGATCTGTACGGTCCTGCTGCAGCCGGGCCAGGATGCCGAACAGGTTTGGGAAGCCCTTGAGCAGCAGTGCAGTGACCTGTTGGGACCCTTGGTGCCAAAGCTGCAACATTTCCTCTTCTTCCAGGATGCGAAGGGTCGGGTCCTGGATGTGCTGCCTGAGGACTTGTTCACTTTGCAATGGGTACGGGTGCATGTCGATCCCCGGGGTGCGTCAGCCCTTACGGCCTTGCAAGCCTTGGAGGATTCCAGCTGCCTTGACCGAGCTGATTCTCATTCTGGCAGTCCGTGGCAAGGTGCCGCCTAACCCACACCTCATGCTGAGCACGTCTTGCCCCAGACTACCTGCCGTCCAGAACCATCTGATTGTGACCTTCCTGCTCTTCGATGGCCAAAGTGAGGATGTCCATGTGCTGCACGATTCATCTGCTGACTCCTCCCTTCTCCACGTGGTCTGCCTGGACCAGGGCACACAGGCTGCGCATATGCTGTCCGAGGCTCAGAGGCGCCGAGGTAAGGTTATCTCCCTCAACGGGGCACCACAGGCCGCGGCTCACCGCGAACTCGTCAATGGGGACCT